ATTTGCCATGGACTGATCCAATCTGCGCTAGAGCAGGGGGAAGCTCCTGAACACCTGCAGTACATCGATGACATTATTGTGTGGGGTGACACAGCAGAGGAAGTTTTCGAGAAAGGGAAGAAAATAGTCCAAATCCTTCTGAAAGCCGGTTTTGCCATAAAACAGAATAAAGTCAAAGGACCTGCACGAGAGATCCAGTTTTTAGGAATAAAATGGCAAGATGGACGTCGTCAAATCCCAATGGATGTGATCAACAAAATAACAGCTATGTCTCCACCAACTAACAAAAAAGAAACACAGACTTTCCTAGGTGTTGTGGGGTTTTGGAGAATGCACATCCCAAATTACAGTCTGATTGTAAACCCGCTCTACCAAGTAACCCGTAAGAAGAATGAGTTTGAATGGGGCCCTGAACAACGACAAGCCTTTGAACAAATCAAGCAGGAAATAGTCCATGCAGTAGCCCTTGGGCCAGTTCGAACAGGACCAGATGTAAAGAATGTGCTCTACACTGCAGCCGGGGAGAACGGCCCCACCTGGAGCCTCTGGCAGAAAGAACCTGGGGAAACTCGAGGTCGGCCCCTGGGGTTTTGGAGTCGGGGATACAGAGGATCTGAGGCCCGCTATACTCCAACTGAAAAGGAGATATTGGCAGCATATGAAGGAGTTCGATCTGCTTCGGAGGTGGTCGGTACTGAAGCGCAACTCCTCCTAGCACCCCGATTGCCAGTACTAGGCTGGATGTTCAAGGGAAGGGTCCCCTCTACGCATCATGCAACTGATGCTACATGGAGCAAGTGGGTTGCATTGATTACTCAGCGGGCTCGAATAGGAAACCCCAGTCGCCCAGGAATATTGGAAGTGATCATGGACTGGCCAGAAGGTAAATACTTTGGGATATCATCAGAGGAGGAGGTGGGTCGTGCTGAAGAAGCCCCGTTGTACAACCAGTTACCAGAGAATGAAAAGAAATATGCCCTGTTCACTGATGGGTCCTGTCGTATTGTGGGGAAGCATCGAAGATGGAAGGCTGCTGTATGGAGTCCTACGCGACGAGTTGCAGAAGCTGCTGAGGGAGAAGGTGAATCAAGTCAGTTTGCAGAAGTGAAAGCCATTCAGCTGGCTTTAGACATTGCTGAACGAGAAAAATGGCCAGTTCTCTATCTCTACACCGATTCATGGATGGTAGCAAATGCCCTGTGGGGATGGTTACAGCAATGGAAGCAAAACAACTGGCAGCGTAGGGGCAAACCCATCTGGGCTGCTGCATTGTGGCAAGATATTGCTGCTCGGGTAGAGAACCTGGCTGTGAAAGTACGCCACGTAGATGCTCATGTGCCCAAGAATCGGGCTACTGAAGAACATCAAAACAACCAGCAGGTAGATCAGGCTGCTAAGATTGAAGTAGCTCAGGTGGACCTGGATTGGCAGCATAAAGGTGAATTATTTATAGCCCGATGGGCCCATGACACCTCAGGCCATCAAGGTAGAGATGCAACATACAGATGGGCTCGTGATCGAGGGGTGGACTTGACCATGGACGCTATAGCACAGGTTATTCATGACTGTGAAACATGTGCTGCAATCAAGCAAGCCAAACGGTCAAAGCCTCTTTGGTATGGAGGACGGTGGCTGAAATATAAATATGGAGAGGCCTGGCAGATTGATTACATCACACTCCCTCAAACTCGTAATGGCAAGCGCCACGTACTTACAATGGTGGAAGCAACCACCGGATGGCTGGAAACATACCCGGTGCCTCATGCCACCGCCCGGAATACCATCCTGGGCCTTGAAAAGCAAGTCCTATGGCGACATGGCACCCCAGAAAGAATAGAGTCAGACAATGGGACTCACTTCCGAAACAACCTTATAGACACTTGGGCCAAAGAACATGGTATTGAATGGGTGTATCACATCCCCTATCATGCACCAGCCTCCGGGAAAGTTGAACGATACAATGGCCTGTTAAAGACTACCTTGAAAGCAATGGGCGCTGGGACGTTCAAAAACTGGGATACGCATTTGGCAAAGGCCACCTGGTTAGTCAATACTAGGGGATCTACCAACCGAGCTGGACCTGCCCAATCAAACCTGTTACGTACTGTAGATGGGGATAAAGTTCCTGTAGTACATGTAAAAAATATGCTAGGTAAAACAGTCTGGGCTACTCCTGCCTCAGGAAAAGGCAAACCTATTCGTGGAATTGTTTTCGCTCAGGGACCTGGATACACTTGGTGGGTGATGCAAAAGAACGGAGAGGTCCGGTGTGTACCTCAAGGAGATTTAATACTGGGTGAGAATAGCCCATGAACTGAATTGTACCATGTTAATTAGTATATTATACTGTATGTTATCACTACCATGATTACTATAGGTGACTAATTAGAATGTATGGAAAAGAGTGTAACCTGAGCATGACATAAATGGTATGGAATAAGGGGTGGATAGATCGGGGTGTTATCAGCACTCTTCTCATCCTAAGCCAAAACACAGCATTCCACCAGCTACTAGGAAGAAAATTAATTCTGTTCTAACTGAAACCAGGACACTCCCCCAAAGGGTACAAAACCTGTGTGCTCAGCTCAGATGTTTTTGAAAGCCCCACAAGTATGAAAGCTTTTCTGTGGTTACGCATGGTGCATACACACAGCTTTGAAAATCCCAGCCAAAGGGTACCAACAGCTTTGTCCCATGCAAAACATAATTTTAAATTGGTTGATTCATAAGTAGCATTTATTGGTTTGTGAAAATCTGATTCAGAGGAAAAAGAAAGCAATCTGAACTATTATCTTGCTTTCATTGTTAGTCATGTTAGTAAATGCCTAAGTGTCACACATCATGGTAACCTCATTAGTTGGATGCAAGCTAATTGATTGGAGGTTGTATATTTAATTTGACATTAGAGGTTTCAGTGACACCAGCTGGACCTACCCACTGAAGTGAACTGTTCCCCAGCAAATGAAAAAAAAAATCCAATTTGTGGGTAAAAAGAAAAGGGACCAACAAAGACAGCAAAAGCAAACAGATCTTGAAGAAATTAGAGTATGTCATGTTTTAATATTTTTACAAGCTACTTGCTTAACTTCCAACTTCTGTCAATCTCTTGTTTTTTTTTTGCTATCACAAGATTGCAAAAACAACTCTGTGCTGCTGACTGAGGACAGGCTTGGTGGTTTGCTCTGGCTGATGAAACACACATGTCCCAAAGGAGAGGCAATAGGGATGCAGACCAGCTACCAGCCTCTCATCAGTTAAGATGTTTCAAAGAAACTGCTCCAAGATGCAATCTTCCAGCTCACTGGGATGTGCTCTGCCTGCAGGCCCATCTATACCTGCTTCTGCTGCAGAAGCTCTCTTTTTCCACCTTCCTGGAGGCTACTCCTTTTTTTCCCAAGGAACAGAGTACTAGGGGGCTGGGCATGTCCCCTGTCTTTGTTCAAATTAAGCTGAGACAGATGTGAGGCTCCCCAGCAGGACATTTCCTTGGTGATATGCACATTATAGTTCCCAACCTCTGAGCCCACTGTCTCCTGTAATTACAGTTCTGTCCTCGAAAACAGATGAGTCTGCAATGGAGATGTACCACTATGCCTCTACCACGCATAGCACAGGCACTACCACAAAGACACTTTACTACCTGAGGGTATTTTAATAGCAAAATCTCAACTGTCAGGTCCCAGTTACAGTAAAACAGATGAGGAAAGGTGACCTGCTCTTATGTCTTTTCAGTTAAACCAATGCATGTTAATTATGAGAGAGCATTGTTATGTTATGATGCCACTAATATAAGCAATGGGGAGGCACTGTGGTTGTGTGTTTTTCTGTTTCTCAGCCATTTCTAGCAGTGCTCTTTGTTAAAACTATGGCAGACAAGTAGCCAAACTGATGTAAGTGTACACCAGTGCACCTGGCTCAGAAAACTCAGAGCAGTCAGAAACATACCAGAATAAAGGAAACCTGAGTTATTGCTGCTTTTGCCACCAGGATGCAAAGGGAACCCCTTTGGGATTTGCATGGCTGCTTCTGGAGGCACAGCCAAACACTCCCTCATCTCCAACAAAATAAATCCCTGTGGAAATCACATAGGAAATCCCAAGCCTCACCTTCCTCTCTGGTACTTGTCTTGGCCAGGTTACTAGCACCCAGATCTGGCAATTTTCACTACATTTGTCTAGCACAGATACGAAATCAGGACCCAGAGAGCATGAGACTATGTCTATAACAATCTTAGGATGCCAGTGAGGCACTCTGGGCCCAGCATTGTGCATTCCCACCATCATCAGTAGCCCAGCTGCAGCCAAATACAAATACAAAATACAGCACCTCAGCTTGGGCCCTTGCAAACCACATCTGTCCTGTGGTGAGCAACATCAGGAATGAAGGGGACATGGTGTGACTGCAAAAGCAGGCTGAATGTGTGGCGGTGCCATGGCACATACATCCATGCTGTGCACTAAGGATTGGCATGGGCTCAAGTCCTCTGCTGACTGCCTTCAGCCCAGGCTTGAGAACAAGCTTGAATGCACTGTGCACAGCTATACTTGTGTTCAAAATGAAAGCAGAAAGTGACCTAAATCACCTTCTTGTGGCCATAAAGAGGGCTGGCAGCAGAACAGCAAATGCAATCTTTTTTTTTTATCTCCATTCACTATGGCCCTGATTGATGAGAAACAATACTTCTCAGGGGACGCTGACAGTTGTAGAAACAAAGGATTACACTTGTACAACTTGTATTTACTGAAATTGGGGCAATTTGTTTTAGATATTGTGAATCCTTTGTGAATTTAAACACAGAAAATACTGAAAGGACTGATTGCAGACCATTCTGGAGCCCAATAAGGCAATACTGCCAGAGCAGCATCTTTTCCCAAGGTTAATGTAAATAAGGCTAACTCAGACATAAATTTCCTTGACAGTAAAGCAAGTTATGTCTGGTTTGAGGCCATCGAGAATGATGGATTATGGCTTTCTAGCCTGTCCCTTGAGAAAGGACATACCTTGAATTCTCTGCAGCTTGGGTTTGGAAAAGGTCATTGGTAAGTTCAGAGGAATGTAGTGCTCATGATTGCAAATGGTTTGAAGAAATTCAAACTTGTATTCAACCAGCAGCTGAGGAAAAAACAAACAAACAGACAAACAAAAAATATGTTTTCAGGTTGACTTATTTGCTTCCAGTTCTGTGTTTCTTATACAAAGACTGAGGAATACAAATACCATTTGGTGAACTCAGTAATGATTGACCAATTTTTGTGATTTCCTCTTAAGCATCACTGCATGCAACTGTCACTTGGGATTTCTTCACCTTTTTCATCCAGACCATTAACCAGCTCCTCCTTTAGTTCTGGCTCTTTATATTGTTTTAAATCTTAGCTGCATAGAGGCTCTCAGCCTAGACAGAGAGGTCTCTGCCTACAGAAAGCTCTGCAAGAATAGTGTCTTAAAGGCCTCCAAGTGTGGTATGAAATAATCACTGCAGAGCTTGGGCTGAGGTAGACAAGTACAACCACAAACCACCTTTCAAGAAATGCACTACATACCTTAGGGTCTTTTGGGCTGAATCCAGAAATGTAATCATTTATCAGGTTAAAAACAAATCCTCTGTCCATAAAGGTCAAACAACGCTGCAGAAAACATAGTGGCATGTGACCAATCATTAAAGAAGAAAGCAATCATCTCCACGCTACCATCCCACCAGCAGCCAGATTTAATCCTCTGGATCTCAATTTGCTTGATCCTGTTTCTCTGAAATTATTTGGATGACCTCACTTAAGTCTCCAGTGGAGAACAGAAATATTTAAAATGAGAACATGCATATTTCATCTCAGGTTTTGAACAGTTTCTAGTCATGACTGAAAACCCTAGATAACATATTCAGCATCATAGTCTCTCGGAAAGAGATTGTTTCTTTCCTAGGAAAGCTAATCTCTTGAGTTTTCATCACTGAAGAAACCTGAGAGATGAGACACTAAAAACATATTTGTTTGCTTGTTACTATTTTTTATTTTTTTTAAAGCCTGGGAGAATGAAAGAAACTGCTGACCTTCAGGAAATTAGCCAAGCTAAAATTGGCATTCCTGGATTCTTCAGGGATTTCGTTATAGCGTATGGTCACGTGAGGAATGATGGCAAGCAGGAGCGAATGCAGGGCATGCTGGTAGGAGTCAGGAAACCGCTGGCCCCTGGGCAGCTGAAACCAAAAGCATGTCGTACACTCAGTGCTGCAGGCGAGCAGCTGGGACAGAACTGAGCACAGGCACAAGTTCCCTTCAACATTTGTTTATGTTTTTGATATTTGTTTATGTTGCTTCCTAATAAAACATTGGCACAAGAAAAAGCTGTGGCTGAAACTACAGTAGCTTGTAATAGAAAAGAAAGGCTGCACAAGCTACAGGGAGATCTGGAATTTTTAAATTACGAAAGAGAATGAGAAAGAGAAAAGAGGGAAAAGAAAAAAAAAAAAAGGAATGATCTGGCTAGCCATTCAGCTTGTCTTTTTTTTTTTTTAAATAAAGAATTACATAGTTTTTCATTTAAAAAAATGGAGGAGAATTAGTTTGTGACAGCTCTGTAATGCAGCATTGAACAAATTCACTTTTACCTTGATTTTATTTTCTTCCAGTAAGTATATTGCCATTGATTTTGCCAGTGCTTCAAAGAAAAACCACGAGTACTAGAACAAACAAAGAATATTATTTTTTTTTCTCAGCAGGACTGAACATGCTTGACTATTTGGGGAAGAAGCAGTGTGGGAGATAGAGTTCGCAATCAAATGGCATTTTGTAAGCACGGCTGTGCTTGCACAGCCAGCTTGGCATGGGAAGCAATCTGGACGTATGCTGTGCTACCTGGAGGAGTCTTGCCAGCCTTGGGGTGAGAATAACTCCATCCCTCTGCACCCCAAGGCACTCTGCAAACAGCCAGCAGAGTTTAGGGTGCAATCCTACCCAGAAGGGCAGGAACTGTTTGCTTCCCACGTATGGCATGAAGAAAAAACATAAAACTGGCAAATTGGAAAGCCCTTTGCTGTGTCTGGCCATGAGCCTTAACACAGGCAAGTCCTCTGTGAGGACTTGTCTCTGTTGTAAGGGGAGAACCTCAAGGATGTGGATACAAAGAGCTGCCCTGGTAGCTTTGCTCCTTGGTGGGCTTGGATGGGTGGAAATGCTGGGCTTTATTCCAGATCCCCTTTTCCCCTTTTATTCCCGATCCCCTTCTACCTTTGGCAGCCAAATACTACCAGCACTTCACCTTGAGTAGCTTATTGATGGCTAGAAAATCTGCTGATTGCTTCAAAATCGTGGCCATGGAAAGGACCAGTATTTCATGGGTCATCTTCGCCTGTGGAACACTGGGTTTCTCAGCTCGAAAGACGTACTGAAAGGCAAGAAGAACAATGTCAGTGGTGTGCCTGCTCCCACCAGGGAGTTTCACAGAATGGTATGTCATGACTGACCTTTATGAAGGAGCGCAAGTAGTGGTCTAGGCCTTCTTCATGGCACTTGGACACTATGTGCAGAAGAACCCTGGGGAGAAATGTGGTTTGTGTTCAGCATGCAGCACGAGGGCAAGTTCCTCCAGCTCATGAAAGCAGACACTGGCTGTACCCTATCCTGCTCAACCCCCAAAGCCTCAACACTGGCAAGGTCTGATTGCTGCAAAGGTCCTGGTTTTCCAGACAGTACTTGCAGGCCAGCATCCCTCACAGCCGTTGTGGCTGCACCACCCTTGCCGTAGCTCAATCTATCGACAGAGCACCTAGAGCTGAGCACCCAAAGCTTTTTACCCTGATGCTGGACTGGACCAGGTGTCACCCTGACCAGCTACCTTCAATGTTCAATGCTCCCTACACAAGGAGGTGAGGTGGAGTGATTCCCCGTGGAATCCTCACCTCACCTCCTTGTGTAGGGAGCATTGAACATTGAAGGTAGCTGGTCAGGGTGATCTCCTACTCATTAGCCTCTGTGCATACCAGGATTAAAGTCTGCAGATCCTTAAACCCATGCTGCAGTGAGCGTTAGGCACCTCAACAACATTCAGGGGTTAGATAAGTCAAAAATGAAAATATGAAGTTCGTCTGCTCTGTAGCCAGTTCTCTTTGGCTGGTGTCACCCAACACAAGATGCATATCCAGATCTCTACATGAAGAGGGAGCCAAATTTCACCTTCTGCACACCACCAATTCATCCACATCATACAGCTTATTGCGTGTTGAGTCTGTCCTCATTGTGAATTTTTTTCCTAATGCTAATAAGAGTGATTTCTAACAACCATAGCACTACATCAAATCTGAAAAATCAATTAAAAAAAAAACAAACAACACAAACAAACAAAAACAAAACAACAACAAAAGATCTCTGCTGAGAAGTGGAGAAAAATTCTCCATGGTTGTTATACTCTGATATCTTCCTGGTTCCTCCAAATGTATTAATTTTGAAGGCTCTTTTTTACTGAATTGATGTCACTTGTATCCTCCCTTGCTCCTTGTTGCGTGTGCTAGATTATTTTCAGGCTGCTGTCTTGCAGTTCACTGGGGATACACAACCCCTGAAGAACATGCCAGCCCCCTGGAAGCACTCCAGGAAGTTGATGAAGGCAGCAAGTGCCTGGCTTCCCCAGCCAGCATCAGGAATTTACATTCCAGTTCAAGTCAGAGGGAACAACAAACTGTTGCACATTGTCATAGACCCCATAGGCCAAACCACAGAGAGGTGTTTACAAGCTGCTTATCAGATGAGGCGGGTTTTAAATTCCACTCTGAAACTCTGGATAAGAAAGCAGTTGTCATTAACAGAGAGCTACTGACAAATGGGAAAGGATCAGGCCAAACTTTGTACAGATCTGTGGAGCTGAACGTGGGAGCTGGTCACCCAGAAGGTAGCTGTGGGGTCACATTCCCCTGTCCTTGTCCTCTGGCAATTTGAGCAGAATGGGAGAGTGCTTGGCACAGAAGCAGTCCCCACACCTTCACCCCAGGACTGAGACTGCAACGGGATGTATATCCTTGGGGAACCAGGGCTGTTTCTGATCTTTTGACGAGAGCAAGATGCGTTTGATATGTGGATGCACAGTTCCTCCTGCAGTCGGAGCAGGCCCTCCATGCAGCGGCATCCAGCATTCCCCTAGGCATTGCAGCACTTTATAGAGCAAGAGCCATAGGAGGAAGATGCATGTTTTTAATGCATCCTTCGGTTTATGCGCATGGTGACCAGAGGCAGGACTGAAAGGCACTTTCAGACCTTTTGCTCTGTTTGGGAGCAGCGGCACGGCAGCGAGGCGCTAGGCAGCACTGCCCTCTGGGGGCTGCTGCCACAGCTGGGCAGGGACTGCCTGAGGCAGCCTCCAGGGAGGCAGCACCCTGCACCATGGGGTTTTTGGGGTTCGGGCTCCCACCCATGGTGACACCACCGGCAGCTGGGGCACCCGTGAACGTTTCAGCATGCCAGTGACCTGGCTTCCCTGGCAGCAGCAAGCACCTCCAGCAAACCCTGCCTGACTGCTGAAGGGAGGTCTGAAACCTCCAGAATGAAGCCTGTGAGCCAAACGAAGTGGTGGGGAGGAGAAAATCCAAAGCCCAGGTTCCAGGTGCTGCACTGGGATACCTCACCACAGATGTCACCTAGGACTACTGCTAATTATATTTCTTGTAGTGAGTGACAAGATATCAGGATGGTTTCCCTGAAATCACTTGCCTAAGCATCCCCTCACCTCCTCGCCATCTCCAGCACTCCTTCTCAGCAGCTATCTTTAAACTAACGCATTTTCCCCCAGGCAGCTCCCAGGAAAAGGACACCACACTGCCTCGTACCACTTGCCTGTGACAGAGGAAGACAGCATCTGGTGCTCCACTGCATGACCGTGCGACCATGCAGCAGTGGACAGCCAGCGCTGTCACTTAGCTCCCTGTAGTGTGAAACCACACCCGGACTTGCACTGTAGTTTGTGGCTTTGCATTTGCAACTGAAGAAAGACAGATGGTTTACCAGACACTCACATGGTGCAGTTGACAGCTACTTCATCTTCCTGGGTCACATTTGTAAGGACTCTAAATAGTTGCATAAGAATTACAGGTAGAAACTGAATCATTACTTGGATCTCCATGGCGTGCAAACACTAAAACAAATGTTCAAAATACAGACACTTTTAGTTCAACATTTTGCAGATGTTAAATATTTATAGTGCACAGACATTTCTGTGGCAATATGACAGGCATTAGCAAATGCTGCAGGGTTTGGGCTTCAGCCTGCCAGAGGACAGGAGAACTTGGACCCAGAGCACTACTTACTGCCTGCCTTTCAGCTGACAGATTCCAGCTGCGTGCCTTCAGGGAGCGACATGAATCACTCATGGCAGGTATTAATCCTCCTCTCAGATGTGCCCAGGCAGCTATGACTTAATTAGAGGTCACATGCTACAGTTTGACCCCAGTAACCCAGAATTTAAGGCTGAAGGTTTGCTTCCAACTCTTCTCACCCTTTTTGACAGTTTTTTGATGTGACTAAGTACCATTTTCACAAATGTCTTTGAAGCACAGAAAACTGATGCCTGATAACTTGTGGTAAGACTTTTATCTAAAGGGCAGAGCTTGCTGTTGGAAATGGGATTCAAGTGACTTGGTGAAAGCCAAGATCATCTGTTGTACACACCCTTCACCTGTCTCATAAATCTCTTTTGCCTGAATCTCGTGATATGAGTCTAGGAAGGACAGTGTGTTTCATTTTCAGTTTTCAAATCCGCAAATCTAAAGAAACGTTCTGAAATCTGTATGTGGGTATTAAAATGACTGAAATTACTGATATATCAGTGGTAAGAAGCCCCCAGTTGTGGCTAGCATAGAAATGTTTCCCTGCTTGCAGGCTGCAATATGGTCAGGGCAACAGTTTCTCTTAGTGCTTGGCTTCAAACCTGCAATTATTTTTACTACTTAAAATATTTGTATGCTATCTGAAACACACCCAGTAACTTTGTGATGATAAATCCTCACCACTGGAAATGGAGTTGTTGCTACAGCAGCAATCTCAAAAACAGGCAGTTATGGAAGGAAACAAGAACAGTAAACAGCCAAGAAATATATTCCCTACAGAAGCTTTTGTTGGACCTGCTCCGAGGCCCTTACTCATGCTGCAGCAAGTGCTGAAAAGCTAGGTCTGGGTCACAGGCCATCTGTGGTCAAACTTCACTGAGTTCACTGAGTTACAATCTCACAGATTTTTTTTTTCAGCCTGAAAAAAATAATCCTGTTTTGAATGGATAAATTTGTGAAAACAAGGAATCATGCTACAGTTTTAAAAGTTTAAATCAGATCTACGGCAGCAGCAGAGGAGTGTGTGAGCCTATCCAGAGGAGGGTTTGGCATGATCATGGCAGAGCAATGCTGACTACATGTTTCTTCTACTGGGAAAAGCAGCAGGAAGCAGCACACAGACAGCAGACAGTTGTGTCAGTAAGCAAAGGTAAGGACCTTGCACAATGTACTGGTCCCAGCACTGCAATGAGCGTGTGTTCCTACAGAACATGGCTCTGGATATTTACTGATGGTCCAGAAAACATAAACAAAACCTACTGACAGGCACTGTTCACCTTTAGGTATTTAACAAGCTCTCCAGGGACTTCCTTAGCTCCCGCCTGAACCAGCTGGCAGTACTGGAAGAATTTGTGCAAGTGCATGTCCTGGAAGAGATGAAAAGTAAATTCAGTGCAGCAGCCTCAGTTTTTGCCTGCCCCTACTTTCCAGCTTACATGTGAAACTCTGCTGACAGACCTGCAGCAGAGGGCCAGGAGCATGTACATTTCTAGCAAGGCTCCTGTCACTAGCAGTGGCACTCCTGGTCCCCAGCTGCCATCCCCCAGGACGACAGCACAGCTGTGACTCTTTCATATTGCCTCGCTATCTGCCTCACTGTCCTCCTGCAGTCCATCTGAAGCAGACCTCAGCTCCTTCCTGTGCTTCTCTGTTTCCCTCCCTCCTCTTCCAATGTGAAACGTAATTAATGGGTTATTGAACCCTGAACCGCATCTGGGAATGCAATTTGAAGGGCTGTAGAGATACTGTGCTGCTCTTAGTTCTGTACAGAATCAGTAAGATCTTAAAACAGGTTTAGTTGATGCTTATTAGAAGTTGCAGCGAATGTAAATGCAGCCGATCCCATCCAGCACAGGACAACAAGCCCTGCCAAGTACATTTCCGCATGAGCAGTACAGACAGGAGGTGCCCTGGAGCATTTGCTTGGGATCTTTGAACATCACATGAAACTTGGGGAAGTCCATCACCACCAGGAGTCAAAAAAAACTCTTGAGGACTAGGTAAAACAGCCTAAACTGGTTTCAAAGGGAAATGAGGATTCTTGTTCACTTGTGAAAAGTGTCTGCTGTTGTCAGATTTTTTTATTATTTTTTTTTTTAAGTCAATGTACAGTCTATTATTTGGGAAAAATCTCCCATCTCCACCAGTTCTTTTCTCTTTTGCATCATTGAAGCAACTTATTTCAGAGTCACAGAATGGGCAAGGTTGGAAGGGACCTCTGAAGATTATCTAGTCCAACCCCTGTTAGGCAGGATCACCTAGAGTACATTGCACAGGATGGCATCCAGGCAGATTTTAAATATGTCCAGAGAAGGAGACTCCACAACCCCTCTGGGCAACCTGTTCCAATGCTCTGTTACCTTCACAGTAAAGAAGTGCCCTCTCATATTCAGCTAGAATCTTCTGTGCTTCAGTTTGTGCCTGTTGCCTCTCGTTTTTTTTTGTTTTTTTTTTTTTTTCCTCAGATGTTTCCCTTGTCCTGCCAGCTACAGCACAACTGGCCACTCCCACAGCTGTCTCATCAAATCTAGACAAAGCAGCAGACCCCTACAAGTAATCCCTGCTATGGAAGTGTCTCAGTGCTGTTCTGCAAACATGGGTACCTCTTTCCCACAGCACCTACAGCAGAGCAGCAGCAGAGATACAACAGTTGCTTCCTCTGCATTTGTGTTGAAAGTCTACAAGGACAAGATGTTTGACTCACCTGGGTGTAAATGGTCGAATCCAAGTGGATTCTGACTTTAAAGAGAGGCTTTGCTCCATCCACCCACTTTGCATCCACGCTGGACTGCTGTGAACAGACAACATTGAAGCACTTGGCCTCAGACTGTGAAGAGAAGGTGATTCTGTGCGGGCAGACACCTGCTCAGAAGGTAAGGTTGGGGTGGAAGAACGGGGACCCCCAGTGACATGACTGCAGCCACGGCAGAGCAGAGGGACATGAGAATATGCATGCAGAGCATATGCCTACTGTCCTGAGCTGCACCATGTACGACAGCCCAGTCCAGCCAGTCACAGAAATATGATCTGCAACCTATACAATCACAGAAAGTGGAATGAAAGTGTCCCATCTCCCATCCCTTTGAATAGTAAGCTTTGGGGGCTACACTCCTGTGAGGATCTTTCCAGCCATTCAGAGCACAAGCACAAGGCAAGAACTTACAGCTGTAAAAAAAGCTCAGATTTTCTCTATGTTTAAGCCATTTTAAATATCCTACCCTTCGTGACTCTGTGTCCCCGAGACCCAGGTACCCAGGTGGAAGGTTGGATGAAACAGGCAAATGCCGTTCCAGGGTGACAATCCGTCCATCCTTCAGCAACGGGACCCAGGCGTACCCCACTGCAGAGGCAACCGAGGGACCAAAGATAACAGACACACAGTGATACATGGTTAGCTCAAGCTCCAAAAGGAGCTGTCTCTCACCCTAAGAAAATCCAACTCAGAGTAGTGCAAGTGGCTTCAAACAGGCTGGGATCGATCATGTCAGCCTTGCTAAAACATATTCTACCTGAAGACTCAGTGAACAAAACTCAGACAGTGCTCAACCAAGATAAGGAGTGGGTTTGAGGAACAGAAATGATGTGTGAGCTGTGAGCACCGTGACAAGGACAAGTCCATCAGTTGTCTGAGGACTGGCGGGAAGGAGAAGCATCCCAACCAGGGGGACTTCAGTAGACTCAGTCTCTTACATGTGCCTAGTGTTGGCAGGCAACCTTGGAGGCTTTGATTTTGTGCCAAGTTTTTGTTAGTGACTTGACTGACTGTAGTCCTATTCACACAGGCCAAATCAAGAACGTGCAGAAATAGCTGCCACATTGCAGCAAAAATATAAGATTTAGTTTAAACCCACAGAGATATGAGAAATGTGAGATACAGTTTAAACCCACAATTTGTCTTAGGTTGCCTTCAAAAACCAAAATTCAGATAAGCTACATTTGTGCGTCTAGACATACATTTCACGTGTCTACATTTATTTTATCTTGGACTCTTAAACTTCAACAGAAATAACGTAAGCAGTGAACATACCTTGAGTTTCAACGGTGTCCTGTTTTTTTGATGTTGCCTTTGTATTAATTTCACAGCTGACATGATAGAAGGTGAAAAGCAAATGATGCTTTTGATGGAGGTGAATTGGAAGCTCAATTTTAATCTAAAATGATATCATGATAGATAAGACTGTATTTTTAATCATGGAGTAGTATTTTAAGTTCTATTTTATTTCACAAATGTTACATTTTATGCAGTTACACAAGACACATTCCTACCCATCCAAGATAATTCCTGGCTAACATTTTCATCACATTTGCACATTAGTTATTAATGGGGGTGTGTGATTGAAGTGCACAAAGCGTGACGGTAAAGACAGCAGAAAACAAACCTGCATTAAAAATTGACAAAGTCTCTTGCTTTGCAGGGCTCTTATACTGAGGCGCAAAGGGGAAAAGGGCTGGTGGTTTTGTTTTTTCCTTTTTCAATATTTCACCCAGCCCTGGAAAAATCCTGAAAAGACACTTGGCTTTGTAGTACCCAGGCAAATCAATTATTTCCCACCATTTTGCTTTACCTCATCGTAGAACTCTGGGCTCTGGTTGTGATGCAGCACAGCTGCGTATGCGTTTGCTGTCAGGAGGTTGCCTCCAGGTTTGCCATATATACACTGGAAGTACAAATGAGAAACTGGATTCAGAGATGTTGCCACCCTAAAATAGCTGACCAAATTGAAACGGCGAGTATGAAAACTCAGTGCTTTCCTACCGTCCTGCTCAATTTGGCTGGCATATGGACAGCACAGCAGTGAGCAAATGGCAGTCACAGTTCCCTAGAAATAACAAGTACCCACCTTTAACGGCCTGGAATCAGCTTCATCTGAATCCCTGAACTCAATACAGACAGCAATATTCCTTGCCTGGAATGGGGAAGAACAGAAAGATGAGCCATTGCTCCAGGTCATTGCATCACCCCAAAGCCCACCAAGTCTGCCTGCAGCCTGTTCTCTGGTTTGCTCACCTTTGCAAACACTTTCTGGTTCTCATACTTCAAATGCAAGGGGTAGACATAAAGGTGGTTTTTGTAGACAGTGAAGGGATAACAGTATTTTGCAACTTCTGGGACAAGCTCCTCCACTTCAACTGCAATGTTCTCACAGCTCTTCTCAAAAGGCTTTATAGGAATATAAGAAGCTGTGACACAATCTAGAAGAGAAGAAAAGCTTGGATGAGCACACACCCCAAAAACATGGGAAGTACAGTTTATGTGACAGGAAATTTGTGGTCTGAAACTCTGCCATTGCTCCTGAGCACTCAGTTCTCTCCATACTGGAGGGTCGTGTGTGACCAGGCAGTGCGGCTTGGCCCACTCTCACAGAAACAATTAAGGGAAAATTCTCCTCTTAATCATGTGACATCTGAGGTCCCCATCTGCATTAGCATTACTGAGAAACGATGGGTGCACAGGCACCACGGTGCTCCGTTCTCCTTGCCAGAGAGGACTGCAGAAGTGGCACTTTGCTGCAGCTCTGGGCAAAGTTGAAGGGCCTTGTGGCCCATCCACGTCTGGGCAGTGATGGCTGCTCTGCCCAAGACCTCTACCCTGAGACTCCCAAAAATATGACCTGTTAAGTTACTGTTTTATAAGTCATGCAAATGCTACCTAACTGAAGTAGACAGGTTACTGAAATGATGACTTGAGAATGACTTCTCAAAATGCATCGGTTCTACTATGTCAGTCCTTGACTCTCTGCTTCAGAAAGATGCTTGATGGTTAGTTTGCCTGCAAATACCTGTGCATAATCCCCACCTAATTCACTGAGACTCACATCCATCATGAGGGAGAGTTCAGCTCAAGTGATGGTGCTCACAAATATTAAAAAAGGCTGCCAGAAAAGCCTTTTGGACAGGGGACTGGATCACAGAACCCATGACAGGAGCTGGCAAAGGCCCATGGGGTGACACTGAACACATCATGAGTGTGAAGAGTCAATCACACTGAGCATGTTTGTGAAGCCCTCTGGTGTTATAGAAGCCTGGCATAATAATAATGGCAAAAGCAGGCAGGTGGCTTCCTTTATATTTAGGATTTGACAATCAAGCTGCAAAGCAGATGCACCCCTCTGGTAAACCTCTGCACTTGAACCACAACACTCCAAAGAATCCATCAGAAAGAGTTACAAGTCAGCAGTTGTCCCAAATTACTCATTTCTTATTGCAACCCCAGGATATTCTTGCTAATGAAACAGAAAAACTCCCCATATAAGTGCTAATTCCTGAGGCTAGCACCACCAATACTTATTTTCAGATCCAAGATCCTTACTTGTGAAGTCCAGTGGGATGTCTTTGATGACAATATTTAACTGGGCTGGAATGACCTGTAGTTTTGTCTTCTCTGGTCTGCATTAGGAAGAAAGGAACAAGACTACGAATCTTGAACATTCAGGTGGTGAACACATCAGCAGGGCTTTTTGTTACCTCCTGAGTATTTTAGAAAATGTCATCTCATGCTTACGCTTACTGTTTAAAAATGTATATTAAAATGCCTGCTCAGCCTCTGCACCAGTCTCTTACACTTACTTCTTATACTCTGCTAAAAGCTTCAGCATATCTTCATTTGAGAGTTTGCCACTGTCTTGCTTGTACAGAGGAGAGAATTTTCCTTCAGCATCGAGAGTGCCCTGGGAGTCTTTGAAAACTGGTCTGCAGAAAAGAACAGACACACTTCCTAAGTGTTGGTAAATATGCAGACATCTGAGGACTTTGACAGTCTGGAATTTATCAGGCAAGAGGTTCGCTGGACAGTGACTGCTCTGATCACCTCCAGACCTCACAATCACTCTCCCATCCTCATGTGGTGTTTAGACCCCACACAGTCTGCAACACACCACGTCACATAGAATTGCACAGGACACCATCCACTTCTCTTCTCTCAAGCCAGGTGAGAAATACACACCCAAACCAGCTCCAAATCTATTCCGCAGTCATAAATGTCCTTCAATCCCCTTCCACTAATACTGAGTAGTAAAGTATTTTCCTTACAGGAAAATCCAGCTCAGGAATACACATTGCAAGCTGTACACCACCAAATCCCAGCTTACCATGACAATCATTTGGTGTTCCCATATCATTACTGTCACTTGCGTCACCACCAAATGGCAATTAGCAACAGGAGGCAGAGGCAAAGGGTTGAACTTGCCTGTAGGGCCTTCTTCTGATGTGGGTTTTAAGGGAATTACCACTAATGTACATAAACATAATGTCACATAAACTGGGAACAGTGAGGGAATAGGATCACTATTCTCTGGTCATTCCCAAGAACATTAATTAAAGCAGAGTCAAAGCTGATTGCCACCCATCAGACCAGGAGGTCTCCACTTTTATCCTTTCCCTGGGAATGCATGGTGCTAGGAAGGAATTTCTACACCAATTCCCGCAATAGCATGGGACTGGGTAATCCATCTCCAGGAATGTTCTGCCTTGAAATCAGTAACTACAGGTCAATGGGAAGGTTACTGCCTTCCCAGAACTGTTTACTATTTAATATTTTGTTTCTAATTCTAGATAGAGTATTTCAGGCCAATCCACGTTCTGCCTAGGGAGTCAGAGCCAGATTCTGCCCCCTGTTGCTTCCATGCAACGTCACTGACTTCAGCAAGTTGGCCCTTTGCCCACTCAGCCTAATGGTGTCCCAAATAACTTACAGCAGAAGCTCCCATACCAGCCAAAGCACAGTCCAAGGCAACTAACCTGGCAGCCCAGCCGAAGGGCATCCTGTACTGCCCAAGACGGCTGCACACCTGCTTGGCCACTTTATGGACCTTCTGGGCTGTCTGCAAAACACAAGAGAGAAGGTGAGCATGTGCCACTGCTTCCACACCACTGGAAGAAGAATAAAGGGTGAAAGAAGTGAGAAGACATTCTGTATTCCACAATGCACAGCCTTGCAGGCGCACGGCATAACACTGCCCAAGCAGTCAATAGATCTTTTGTCACTTCACACCATGCACATTTATTACTTTTGCAAAGCGGTAACAAACATGTCATGAGCACAGTCATGCTGTGTGGCTTACAAAGTGCACAGAGGGGAATGCCATCACATACCAGGTATTCCACACGTCAGTTTTCCAGGGACTAAGTTTGGTTGGCTGCAGCAAGGCAGCATCAATCTCTGTGCATGCCACATGGAGCTGACGCACAGCAGGACCAAAGCCCCTCACTGACCAAAATATGCTTAAGTTCCCCCATACAATCATGCATGCAGCAGGACAAAGGCAGGGCAAGCAGAGTAAAGGGTGAAGCCTGTGTTCTGCTGCTACTAAAACATTGCTATTCCCAGTGGGAGTGAGGCAGGACCAGTTGGAGATGCTGTGTGTTGCACTATGTAGCTGTGTGGCCTCTTTCTCAGGGGATGACATGTCCTACTTCGCCACTGCCATACCAGGCTCTGCTTTATTTCAGCGTAATGGGGAAAGTCCTCCTGCTCCAACTGCCTGGATCTTTCTAAAAATTGTCTGCCTCCTGCCAGAGGAAGGAGCTGATTCTCCCAGGAAAGCCCAGATGAAGCCAGCCTGGGAACAGCACAGGTAGCAGAATAGATGAAGATCAGAATTTGCCAGAAAGAAGCTAAAGAGCTGCAGTTTCAGTTTAATCCATTTTTTAGACCACGCTACTCGCCACAGCAACAGACAACACCACTAAGCAGATACTCTCATGGGCCCATCCAATACCTTTCCTGGGTCCGAGTTTTTCATGTACGGCTCTGCACAGTGCGTAATGCTGCCCTGCAGCACCTTCTCCACGCGGGCCACCAGGAAGATCTCCACATGTGGGTCAGTCACAGAGAAAACACCCTACAACAAATAGATAGTAGTCTGTCAGACAGTGGGACACCCTACTCACACCACTGGGTTTGGCCCAGTTGTCTCACATCCCTTGCCACAGTCCACACAGACCCTGCTATGGCTGCTGCCATAGATGGGCCACAGGGGCTCACAAGGCGTGAGAACAGTCAGCTTTTGAAAAACTCTAGCTGGTACTTTGCCTATAGCTACCAGCAAGGCCAAAGTGGCGATCAGCTTGCGACACTGAACAAAACATGACAAAATCCCACAGCTCCAGAGAAAAGCTGACTTCCGCTTTTCCATTTGATTGACCTGTTTTCATTTCAGCAGATGAAGTGAGAGAAATATGGTCAATTGAGATGGCTGACGGCTGTCTCGGGGAAGCAATCTTTCCAAGTAGTTTTTAAACCATGGCTCGCACAACAGAGCATGGCCATTCACAGTGACAGCTCACGAGCACTGGCCCACACAATGGATAAGAACAAACCACAATGCTACTGAACAGCCACAACCTCAGTAGAGACACAGAATGAGAGGCCAAAGTCAGTTCTTCACCCGTTTTATGTAGCGCAGGCAAGACTCGGGTATTCCATGCACAAGGTTCTCGCCTGGTGAACGTCCCTTGGTGTCCTCTGCCCCAGATGTGGAGGCATCCAGCAGCATATCACGAACAGATGGAGGGTTCAAGTCCACGTGGAAGTCAGCTGAAATCTTGCAATTATTCTTCAGGTCAAATAATGCCAAGCTTAGGAAAAAGGGCTCAACCTGGAAATTGAATATATGTGTCAAAAAAACACAAAAACAACATGCTACTGGCTCAAGAATAGTAACATTTATTGCCTTTCCCACTAGGTTTGCCTTCTGTATCTGTTTGTTCCTTTAGTTTAGTGTACCAGAATTTTCCAGGATTCATATAATCCATGCTTATTTGCTCTATAAATACATAAAACCACTTTTTCCCTTCATCATCTTGTATTTTGATCCGGTCAATTTAAACAAAGCTACTTTAAAAAACAGCAGTGTAGAGGGGTTTATATAAATGATAAACTATGAAGTTATGAAGAAAAGATTACCCCAATCCATCAATTAGCGTTGTGAATTATTCATCCCTTGTAATGAGAAAGAAAGCAACTTAAGAGTGTTTATGTTCACATGCTAGAGAACACTTCACTCGTCATTGTCCCAAGTCCATCAGCTTTGGACAGTCCAACTGCAAGGCCTTAACAAAACGTTCCTTGGCTGCTATACACCGAGGCACAGAAGCAAAGTTAGTATAAAGCACCTCCCAGCTAGGAAAGCTTGAACACAAGGCTAACACTGCTGGGGAACCACACATACAAAAGCTGCATCTCAGGAGGTGCTCTACAGATGAGGGCTGTCTCACACCAAGCTCATCTCGCTTTGTAGCTATTGACCTTGACAGCACAACGTAAGTAGCAGCAATTCCACATATTTTTAGTTCAAAGATCCCAGCAGGCATGTGTCCATGTAAGGATAAAAGTGAAGGCCTGCGATAAGGCTGTAGCATGTCTGAGACGTTACAACATAACTTGGAGGCATTACATCAGTATTAAAAATGTGCTGATTAGGTCCAATGCTGGGCTTGATTAAGTACAAATAACAATCTCTGCTATCAGTGGTGTGCTCATCTGCTGGGAGTGACTGAGAAGAACAAGCCTGGTATACTAACTGATCCTACACGGACTGGGAGCTGCCAGTGTGAAACTATCACAGAGAGGCTTTGCAGTCTTAATAGGCACCAGACAAGGTACCATCAGCAGAGACTGGTCAGCTGGTGCTGCTGTCTCCCTCGCATGTAACGCTATCTGCTGCTCTGGGCACCACTGCATAAAGGGCTGACTCCAGCCACAACAAGTATAGGACAAGTATAGGGAGCTTGTCTTGGGAGAAAAGACTGGTTTGTTCAGCCTGGCAGAACAAAGGCTGAGGAGAGATATAATTGCTGTCTACAGACCCGAGAGGCTCAGAAAACACAAGGAAGAGCTTTTTAGGTTAAGGTACAACTTTGGCACAATAACAAATGCATACAATAAAGTGGCTGTGAACACTGTTGGTCTGGGACTCAGGAGAAGGTTTCAGAATAGGGAAATCCCTTGCCATTAGAGGAAACGAAATAAAACACATCAGTGAGTGGTTTGGAGATGGAGCTTAATCATTTACCAACAGGACTTTCAAAGGGACTCAGAATACTGCAGACACGCTCCTTGTTCTCTATGCTTGTGAACCTCTGGCTTCCCAGCAGTCCCAGTTCCTGGCAGGCTGAGGCACGGAAGGACAAACTTCTTCCGCAAACACATTTTGGAACTCCAGAATACCAAGGCAGACAAATCCTTCAACGACCCTGGGCCAGCAGACACCACTGGCCCAGGTTCCATCACAGCTCATGACAGAATGGGATGTCTCTACCCACCCAGATTAACATACAATAGTTTTGTTGTTGTTTTGTGTTTTTTTGTTGTTTTTTTTGTGTTTTTTTTTTTTTTTTTTTTTTTTTTTGCCAATGAATAGAAAGATGCCAAAGCAGGAAATGCCAGAACTCTCCTTACATTGGTAGGTCCTCCTTCTGATCGATCATTGAGCTGAGCAAGAAGGTTGAGGGACAAATCCTGGCAGCACACCACAAAGCGCCTGCTGCACTTTTCTTCAAACGGCTTCACGTCTGGCTCAATCCCTGAGAAGTCTAGCCTCTATACAGCAAAGAAAGAAATGTGGTCTCATTAAAAAAGAAAATATACACCTGAATAATGTTAAGGGATCACATTACAGCCAATACTATCTTAACCATTTTCATTTAGGTGGTGTAAAAAGTACAAGACATTCACAAATGAGTGTCATTTGGTGATGTTACACAAATGTATTCAAGACATGAATTCATGGGGATGTATCAATTTTTAGCAATCTGGTTTGTATAGCACAGAAAACTAAACCTCAGAATGATTTCAGTTCCTTCCTGCTTTGCTGTAACCCTGGGGATCTTCCCAAACACCATTTAGAGCTTGGGGAAGAAAGCGGAACATAAGCCGTCGTTACACTCAGAAAAGTATCTTCCACTTTGAAGATTTGACTAGTTTAAGAGATGGTCCCTGTGCCTGAAATAGAGAGAAGGCACATGCTGTTGGGATCGTGAACAACATCTTGAGCTGGAAGGCATTTCTAGATGCACAGCAATAACTGGCATGGTTAGCAACAACAAAGACTCTGCAGAGCTGGCTGGGAAATCCAAACTGCCTTGATTATAATCACCTCCTTCCTAACTGAGAACACCCATGGCTGGTCTGTGCCACAACGTCTGCCCTTCTCAGAAAGCAGATACATAAATGACCAAAATACCATCAACCAGAAAAAGACCCTTAGCCTTCACCACACCCATTCTCCTGGGCACCAGAAACACACAGCTACCAGACACCCCTAAATACCAGCACATCTCTTAGTGACAATCTGACACAGTCTTATTAGTTTTTAGTCCTCACATCCTGCAGAAATCTGCATGCCAAACTTGGGATACTGAAATCTCACAAACAAGTAATTTCAGTAAAATAGGCTGCAATTGTTAATCTGATTCTAGGAAACTCTTACCATTGTTTTCCCCATTTCCCTTGCATGAGAAAAGTGCATTGCAGGTATATGTTCCTGCTCCCAGTTTGCTTAGCACAAGGCATACAAGCATGCAAGTATACATCATACTGCCTGGGGCAGTGATTTTGAATACCCAATGTTACAGCAGATGTGACTGGCCCACGCCATAATGAAGAGCTCTGTGTATGTAGGGAGGGCAGTAAATTTAGCCAAAATGTTTAGTTAGGAAAAAAGCATCTCGGATGCTCTTCATGCTACACTGAATGATATTTCCATTTTTATTATCTGAATAAAAGATAGGAAATTTCTCAAAGCTGCTCTTCAAAACAAACAAACAAACAAACAAAACCACCACCACAACAAAAAACCTACAAACCTTTTAAAGACTAATTACATGTCCTTGGTAAACCAGGATGTTTTTTTTTTCACAGGTGTGAACAAGCCAAAGCATGCCAGAAGGAGAACCAGAAACTACGAAACAACTTGGAACACTTCTCTAAAGCCACATTAACAATTGCAGCTCATTCCACTGAAATCCCACACCTGGGCCTTGGCAGAAAGCTCAGCTAAGAGGTCAAAGCCGAGAAGAAAACAAGCCAAATAGTCAATGAACCCCTGTTCCAGTGCATGAGAACAGCATATGGTGTTTTTTGTTTGTACCTCCCCCACATCTAAAAACTCTCTGAAGACTGAGGCTCTCCCTCTAAGCTCCTAGGATTGTCTCTAAGATCACTGCTCCCTCCTCCAGATGTGCATTGATTTCTCCACTTCTAAAGTTCCCAACATGGGAACCTCCCAGAGGCCCATATGATGGGTTCAGGATCCAGAAACATCAAGATGCATCATATAAGCCAGCAAAGCTGGAGGGAGGCCCTTTGTGGGACTGTCGTGAGCTCTCCTTTTATTTGAGCTATCATCTAAGTTGTTTGGCTCATACTGAAAGGAACATGTGCTGCACTCCTATTCTCCAACCCACCAAAAAACATACTGCCTCTACAGGCAAATGCTGTGGCCATGCAAGGGAACAGGGTAGGCATGATGCCAAGGGAGCAAAACCTCAAATTTGCTAACAGGGGAATGTTTACCTGGACTTCTGGGTCAAAGGAAAAGAGGTTTTGTCTTCCATCATTTCTGCTCAGTTTGTTCAGCTGATCTGTTTCTCTTCCATACTAGGACAAAGAAAAGCATTGATGTTAGTGCCTGGCCACACAGAGGCAAACATTCGTTATTTGGAAAGAATGGGAGCAAAACAAAATGAATATGTTTCAGGTTCCCTTTGTGATATATGAGGTAATGCAAAGCTTCCTAGCTATATCTACCAACACCACACAGTCAGAGTATAATGATGTGGCTCTGCTAAATGAGAGAGCAGAGAGGAGGAGGCAACTGAGCTCTGGATCATGCAGGAGACAGCTGCCACTTAACTCCCTCTGCACTGATAGCAAGGACAGTCATCCCTGTGGAGCAGGAATGAGTAATACCAGCCATGACAACCCTTCATTCTGTAAGCATGGATCTCCCTCATGGGTCCCACACTAACAGTGAGCGCCATGCAGCCTCAAACCATGGAGCTCCCCTAGCTCCAGTCCTGGAGACAGGTAGGTGAGATGCCCAAGACCCCAGCAGCACTTGGTGCTTGCCCAGCTCCCTCAGAGCTGAAGTCAAAGCACAGGGAAACTCCTGTTACAGATGTGGTGGAGAGAACTAGCTATAGGGCAGGGAAAGCGATCTCTACAAACACAATACCTTCATCAGCTCTGGATGCATGCTTCTCTCTAGGCTCTCCAGGATGTTTTCTGATTTTCCTTGCATGCTTGATTCATCATCTGCAAGGACAAAAACCACAGATGTTCAAAACAACTGCCTAAGCACCATTTTATTTCCCTCTGCCAGAAAGCATACTGCAATATTTGCTACAATAGCACAGAAACAGTTTATGGAGATTTTTCCACTTCTAGGATGTAAGATTTTTCCATAAATTACTAGTACCAGAGCGTACTATTAACAGCCTGCTATGTCTTTCCAAAGTGTAACTTCAGCACAGATCCAACTTTCCAGGAGTCTTGAAACACTGCCATGGATTTCCCATCCAGAGGAAGGGTCATGTTTCTCCGCACTTTTATTCCTCTGACTATTGTCTACATTGTACTAAGCCATTCAGCATGATATCGTGTGTCAGCCACAATTCTTGCGATTAATCCAGAAAGAAAAATACATCTACATGCACGCTGCTCACATCCTGCTGGAGAATGGAGAAGATAGTTTTTTATTTATAAACTAACCTTGTGCAGATTCCACCGTATCTTTCTTCTCTTGCACCAAACTCTCAGTATTGCTCTGAATGATCTTTCTCAGAGTTACCAGCCACTCTTCCATCTCCTGCTCAGTTTCAGCTGCGAGATAGTGGCTGTATTTATCTATTGTCTTGAGTTCAAATGCATAGCGGCGCATTTTAGGACACTGGACAAACAAAAAGGGCAAGCTTTGTGTTACACTTTCCTCAATAACTCCGCATAGTACCTTCTGCAAGGCTCCTCTCTGCAGAAAGCATCCTGAACTGAAATATCATGATAGGGAAAAAAATCACCTAACTTAGAATATAAGAATGTCCTTGCCACAGCACCTCTCCTGCAGTTAATCACAAAGGGCTTTACAGTAGTGATCAAGCGGTATGCAGTTCCACAGTAGCTGCTGTGCTACTCTGAGAGTGGAAGAAAATCAGACTGAACCACAGACATAGCACTAAGGAACAGAAGCAAGCTCCTTCCTATGTCATTAGACCTTTAATATTTAGCAAGAGAAACCAGGAATTGGTTTTGTCCACAGTAATTTTGCACTCTAGCACATTTAGAGGCATCTATCTTAAAGGCAAGTGGTTCAATGCAATTTTCGGAGCTCTGCTGGCCTTTAAACAGCACTTTCTAATGAGAAGCCCAGGCAAATCTGATGCAACTTGGGAAGTACATCCTGTACATCACCGAGGCATCTCTACTTCTGCTTTTATTCTATTCAGAAAGATAAATGGAAATGCAGAGCTCTGACTCATCTACACTGAAGAAAACAGTCAAAGTAATTTATGTTGCCCTGTACCAGCTCCATCACACTTGGTGCTTGAAGCTTCAGCAGAGACAGCAATGGCACAAGACACAACAGCAATTCCCCCATGCACTTCACTCTCAGCACAAAGCAACCCCAAGTTTAAGCCCAGTGCAAATACCTCCTCCAAGAACCTTACAGGCCATTTGCAGGAGGTAAGCCCCAAAGGGCTGTATGTTTGCATAGACATATCAAGACCTAACTTAAGAACCTAACAAGACCTAAGAAGAAGCTGGTGCTAATAGCAAACAAAGAAGGTGCCCAAGACGTAGCTGCACCAGCTATTTATTGGCCCCAATTCTCAGGGTGTGAGATATCCCCTTTACCAGGAAGGCACATGGTAAAGGGTATGGACAAAGCAGGAAGACTGACTGGGCAAAACAGCCATGGGTTAGTTTCTAAATTCATGCTTTCAGCCCTCAGTGTCACACACTGAGAGCATTTCTGTCTGATCTAGCAATACCTACGTACGTAGTCATGGCGAAAGTACACCTACCTGAACAACATCATTGCAAGCATCCAAGAAGATACAGCCTTTGGATTCTTTTGAAATTTTCTCATCTTTGTAGGAATTAAGAATGTAGGAGCCATCTGTAAGTTGTGACAAGTAAAAATACCTCCTCTTGAATACCTGCAAAAGTGCAAAGTCTTGCTCATTCAAGTATTCACTCTTCTGTATATTACAAGCAAAAGTCTCAGTTTCAGTATCTGCCCTCCTGCTATGGAGAAAATACTATAAATAGAAGCACTGATGACCCTAGAGTGTTGCAAATGCACCCCTTTGAGTACAACTTGTTTTTGTGCAGGGAGATTTTCTTGTCTTCTTTTATTTTAACGTTCTTGTTGTTATTATAAGTTCTCCCATCTAAAGCAAAGCCCCAGGGCTTCAAGCTCATCTCTCCGCTGGCTCCAGACTCATTTGTCTTCACAAAGTAACGCTGCATGGTAAATTCAGATCAGCACATTGCTTGAAGATTCATCCCGCCCTAAAGCAGGTATTTCCAGAGCCTTTTTGATAAAGACCTCAGTTAGAATTACAAAGCAATTCTCCGGAAGACTTTGGAGCAGATGTGGAAATTCCTAGCACTCAAATACAAGCCAAAGAACACTGTAATCCATGCAACTGCTCAAGGTATTTTGTTGTTGTTGTCATTTTTTCCTAACACACCTATTTTCATGAACTAGCTTTGGCTTAGTATGTTCAATTCTCACCTTAAAAAGCAGTAAATCTGGGAAAAGTATTCATATGCTTGAGCTATCGATCGTTATGAAGAGACCCCAGATAGATTTAAAAAGAAAAAGCTCTCCAGCTTTTTCTCAGAACACCTTCCTTCACATTTGTCAGCTCACAGGCAGGGTACTATCATTCAGGAGAACATTCTGGCAGCAATTAAGATAGCACCATATGCTGCCAGGTGTGTGAGGAGCAGGGTGCATTTCACAGTTGCTGGATATCAGGAGAACCACAAAGCAAGCCAGGGCAAGCAGCATTGCGACGCTCAGAGTATTTCCACTGTTCTGAATATCTGGAAGAGCTATGAACGAACACAGCATTTTTTATCTCAGATAGGAGAGTGCCAGTAATTTCCTGCACCCACCACTACTGACACAATCGTATGTTCAATAAAACCATTTGCTCACTTGCACGGAACTGGTAGGGAGCATTGTGACTAACTGCTCTGAACGGTAACCTCTGGCATCATTTAGATGAGCAGTTTGCTGTGGAGATGCATCAAAGGGTTGTGGAGCTTCAGATTTACTGAAAAAAAATGCAACTAAACCTTAGTGTAGCAAAGCATAAAACCACATAGAAATCTAAGTCTGCTAAGTGTTACACCAAGTTAAACACTGATTCAGCACTTCATTGAATCAGTCTTGGAAACTTTGATAGTTAATGCTACAGAAACCCATTATACATGTATATCTCTCTACACATTACAGGGTTGATATCCCTCATGGATATGGGGTTTCATGCAAAACCATTTGTAGCCTCTGAATTCTGTTCAAGGGAAAGATGCAGAAGCAAGAAGCAAACACTAATCCTGTAACCTTCGCCCCACTTCTAAGCACTGCTGTAAAATAATTGTCAGAAGTCTACAAACATTTAAAATAAATAGTATAAACCTAAAAACAGAGGAAACATCCCTTTTGATCAGGTTACAGATGTTGCGGATGAGCATGGAAATTGCAGAAGGACAGCTAGAGAACTGGAGAAGTCTGTTAGAGAGGAAAGAAGAGAAAATCCTGACGCCCTTGTTGCAGAGCAGCCCACTGAAGCAGTGGGAAGTTCTTTGCAAAGGAAAGGTTACTCTCAAATAATTTTTGGCAGCTGTAGCATCATTACAGCTTGCTCATGGGCTGGCTCTCCACAAAATACACTCTGCATGAGCTTAGCAACAGCATGAGGTACCAGAGACTCAGTATGTCACAGCAGCGAAAGAACCAGCACACAGAAGATGGTCATGTCTGCTTCCACAGTAGAGCAGCAGCTTCTTGAAGTGGTGGTAAGGGTGAAGACTTTCAAAGTCCTCAGATTTCTCACATGTGCCTTAGAAGGTGTTTCGTAAGACACAGCAGCGACCAGCTCAGAAAATGGCCACTCCTTACTGGTACTTTAAGTTTAATGAGAGATTTTTATTAACTGAACTGAAAGCAGTGCAGTTCAGGCATCTCTGAAAGGTGGGTCTAAGGTGCTGGGCACTGAGGCCAACAATACCACAGGAGCCTCAGTCAAGAATGGACATAACTAACTGCTTTGAATATATATGGTAGTACCTCCTTCTCCAGAAGTTACAGGAGCCAAAATGACTTCAAACTTGCTGTTCAGAAAAACAGATAAACAGAAATCCCTGCTCTATTTCCTTCAAGTACATGAGGAGTCATTTTAAAACTCATTAAAATTAGCCATATGAACTGCCCAGTTCCACTTATGAACGTAAAATGTGTTGAACTGAACCTTAGAGCAACTGACCTTACAAAGTAAAGAACCCCACTGAAGCCATTCCTCAGCTGCACAGTTGAACATAATTACCTAATATTCTTTCTCTCTATGCTTTAAGAAGGCAACTGCAGGGTAGAGCAACAGAAAGGCCCATTGCCACAGCAAAAACCTTCAGTTGAACTATAAAAAACTTCCCCTGCAAAATCTAAGCAATGTCATGCCAGATTATGTACAAGGGAGAACAGGAGACAATGCAGCTGTTGCTTTTAGGTCAGTAATGCTCCATCTCCTCAGTGACATCATCCTTCCTCTTAGAGCAAAGCCTTGTCATTTCAATTTAAAATTGTTCTCTGTACGTATTTTCTACTGCCAAGGAAACTATCTATTCATAAAGTCTTCATTGCAGGGCAGCTGTTTCAGTTATTTAAATTGCCTTCCTCTTCCTAGCCTCAGCTGCTCATCATGAAAAGAGTCTTGGTTTTCTAAAGCATGCTTTGCCTTTTTCTTCAGCTTGCTTGTCATGATTTGAAGTGCATTGGTCTTATATTCTTGGGAGGGAAGGGTCAAAAGCTGTTTCCAGATTGGTTTTCCAATCTACTTTGGGATGGTCTACAAAACAGATGGACATCCAACTGAACTTGAACCCACTGCTGTACTCCTGCTACCTTTAGAGATGTGAGCTGAACTTAACAGGGATTATGTCTCGTTTCCAATTAACACAATGCTGGATCAGTCTCACCTTCATGGTAACAGTGATTGTGCTGTTTACATTTGCTTTGTGCAACCAGCCTTGCTTTATCACACCACCCTTCTGGGAGCACAATGATGAGGAATCCTGAAAGAGAGCAAAGGATCATAAAAAGAGGAGGTCACGTGAACTGCCTTCCATGCAAAATTTTCCTTGGACATGAGCGTACGTCTGTACTGGAAAGCAATATTGAGAACTACAGCAACAAAGCTATCATGTAGAGTGTACACATACACAGCTACATATACAGTGTGACCACAATAAAATATCAGGGTCATCTCTTTCCAACAAAGAAGTGAAACAGGCTAGTTATGGTCATCTTTAACAAGGAAAAATTACATCTGTGCTGACAGAACTGCACATGGATTTTGCAATGAAGAAATGCGTGGTTCTTAGGTAGTATTTCAAAAACCCAGGGAAGCAAGAAGTTTTCAAAATGGTCTGTTTGGACAGTTGCAAAATGCAGAACATTAGATTTATTTCATCATTTCCTTTCGTACAAATCAACTTGCATTTTAAGTTTAGGTAAAAGAACAGCAAACCCAAATAACTGAAAAGTAACTAGAGCATTTCACATTTATCAAAACAATAAGTTTCAAGTGACTCAACTGCATTCTTCTTGGCGTACTGGCTGGGATTTCTATCTTTTGTCCTGTCCTCTGGTCCCAGAATGGGTGAACAGCTCTCCAACCACATCCAACAGTGACCTCCACTGAAGATGGAGGGAAACAAGATCCCAGACTGATTAAAAAACTTGCCCTGGTCTTTTCAGTGACTCAGCAGCAGAGATAGACCTGGACTGACTGTTGACGAGCTATCAAGGCACTAGTTTAAATCATCTCCAGCACCTCAAATGTCAGGTTTTCACTCTTTTCTTGTCAAACTTCCAGTGAAAAAAGTAAAATTTCTAATGCTTTATTTCTCTGGGTAGAACAACCAATAATTTATCCTTTATAATGGTTCGCCCTTTTTTATCAAGGGATTTCTTTTACTCAAATTTCCATTGCATAGTTCTAATGCAAATGTTCTGTCAGGAAATTGTAACAGAATCCTTTAGATACTGGCCAAGCCAAAAGACATAAATGTCAAAATATCTGCCAAAGTATCTGGAATACTCTTCCATTGCCAACAACAGTAACTTCATTTGTTTGCGTATTTGGGACACTGATCAGAAGAAAAAAAGGTTTCCACCAAATTCTGATAGCATATTTTTATCTCTTTACTTTTTCAGAGGTATGCTGATAAGCTCTGTCTCAGTTTTGTCTCCAGCCAAAATTAGATATTATTAAAGAAGTAACAGCTCAAGTTAACAGTGTAATGAAATGCAGCCAAAAAAAATAAGGCCAAACTTGACAATACATTTCCATTTATAAAAAAGTCATCCAAATCCAGACATGAGGTGTGGGACATGCATAGCAATTGTTAAAAATGTGTATGAAACAGCCCTTCAAATCTACAGCTTTGCAAGACAGAAACTTTCCTGTTCCTCAGCAGCAGCACCTTGGTGCCATGAGGATTTTAAACAGCTGGACTAAATTCTTCAGACTGTAAACTAAAATTTCTTAGCGTCAAGTGTTGGAACTAAACTTCACATGGTAATTGATAAAGAAATATGTTAATATGCCAATGCCCTACCCCAAAAATGCAATATGCATGGGGAAAACATGGCATATGTATTTCCTGAAATGACTGCCAGGTTTGAGATATCGCAATTGTCAGAGCCCCCAGCTCCTCCATGTGGAAAATCTCTCAAGCTGCAAAATCTCCCCTGCAGACAGGTTAACACAAAGGTGCTAGCTTCCAGAAGAGGTGAATGCCTCTGAATACCTGCAGAGTGTATACAGAATTAGATTGATGTGCTGTGAACATGCTGGGGAGAAGTAACTGGTTAAGAATGACAGATTACAAGGCAGAGCGCCAACCTGTTAAAGAAGAGGACCCTGATATTGCTGTATCACCATGTAATGAAAACTAATCTGCCCACTTTAAATTATGGTCACAAAGAATTTTACTTAGTAAATTTCTTGGCTTCCTTTTTTTATTTCCCCTATTTCATTGCTGGACTCTATCAAGTGAAAAAGCCATGAAAAACATTAAGGCTAATCTTCCACCTAATTTAGGAGACTCTTGGCTCCAAGAGATTATCTTGTCACACTTTCAAATAAATCACTGTCTCAGTTTTGGCCCCATATCTGCAGTATGAAGCATTTCATCATAAAGCCGTTCCTGGGAGCTGAATTCTGACTTTGTCTTGTGAAATATTCGTTATAACAGATCTTAGAGTAGAATATGTAAAAAACTTTCTCCTTACCTCGTCTTTTTCAAAGTCTTCATCGATTTCAAACACATGACTTGGAATCTTGTCTGGCCTAAAGGATTTGCTGAAATCACAACATTTTCATTTTTAATGACTGGGAAACAAGGATGCACAAAGCCAGCTATCTGATGCTGGCTCCACAACCGACTGTCAAACTGCAGATTACAGAGCACAGCAGAACTGTCCAACCGTAGAAGAGTTCAAAAGACCTACAGCCCCTTACAGCTGGAGATATCTAACTTCTGAATGCACTTCATTGAAGCTAAGCACGAGGAGCATGTAATTAACATTCTCTGTATTAGCTGTCTGCCTTTGCAGAGTTTTTGCTGACTTGCATTTGTGCAACACAGGGATGAAGCAGATCTATCTATCTTCCATCCTGCTAAAGAAGAAGCCAGATCAGACTGCAAGATTATTCACAAATTTTAATACAATTTGTTCAACAGTGTTGCTCTGTTGTTGCTTCACTTCCCTGCAAGATCTTCAGAACAGACCTACTTTGGCCAGACTTTTTCTCCTAAGCCTGATCAAACCACAACCCCATGACCATGTATTAGTATTCCAAGGGAGCATGAAACTTACCATGGCAACATCCGAAAGTCGCCTGAGTATTCCTCGTATTTGTAGTTTACCACATGCCAGTCCGAGCTGTAGGTTTTAATGCACTGAAAAGAAAACAATACAGGTATTTGAAAGCTACAGAAAGCATAACAAAACCATGCACAAGTTCAAAAGGTTACAGACTGCTGGTTGATGTAAGTGGAAAGCGTGAACTTATTTTTGTGCTACCATACAAGATGTCATAAGGAACCTTTTCAGCACAGAGACAAAAATCACACAGCATCTGGACTGCCACACAGCTGCTGATTTTGTATCCACATAGCTCTAACACTTTAAAAAAGGAATAGTGATTTGATTGTCTTAGAGGGCAGCATTTTACAAAAACAAATCTGCAGCACTCAGGATGAAGCTAGAGAGGCTGTGCAGCCCAGCCCTTGCCCTGCTGCACACCCCGCACCTTGCAGCTCAAGCCCCACACGTTGTCTGCATACAAAACCTGATGAAAACAAGTGCCATATGAGAGGCATGTAGGAACTAGCTAGTGCAGTACCCTGCCAGTGATCAGTACTTCCGAAGATAAACTAAGTGATCTACAACCTCATAGACAAGCAGCTACAGCAGAGCATCTTGCTTAAGGGAGAAGGTGCGCTGAGCACAGGCATTGCATGGACTTTTACCCCTACCTCTTTGACAAAGAGACTCTGAGCTTTCTTCAGAGCATCTTCTGGCACTGTAGACTGGACAGTCCTTCTCTGACGACTGATAACTGAAATCTGCAGGGAAAAGGAGAAAATGGTTTCAGTGTAAACTGGGTCTTCAGGAATTGATACTTGCTTTAGATAAATATGGCGGGCCCAAATCACCAGTGGGTTGTTTCACTTTTATGTGTTAGTAATGCAGCCAAAATCAACATGTAGACAAGTGTGGAAATTTTCCAAAGTAAACAGGACTGGAGATGAACAAGCCTCAAACATGAGAAAGAGCCAGTGCAAACTCACAGACACATCTTCAATCGGAAATATCAACAGGTCCCGGAGGGGATCACTGTAGATTTGAACTTTGCGTTGAAGGATCACGTTCTCATAGTCCAAGGGTTCAACAACTTTGGTTTTTTCCTGTAGGATGAATAAAAGATAGAATATTTACAGATGTATAATATATAAAATAACCAGTAAGTAACATCTTGTGCCTAATTTGGTCTGACAACTTCAAACCATGTTACCAATGGACTGCTTATGAATTCAACAATCAGATACTTGCATGATACAAGGAACTACTGATGTACATGCATTGCAGTGAGGGAAACAAGGGGTTACGTTATTTGTGCTTGGTAATAAGCTACAGGAAGAAAGCAAGTACTGTGCTGTTCTTCTCCAGGCACAGTCTCTAATTTCTTAATGGAGAAAGCAATTCTCCTGGAAAGGCCACAGCTTTAACAGCTACAAGCTTCAGCTTTCACCAGTATGAGCAGCTCATCTGCACAGCTCAGAAGGAATACGGACTCTACACCAGCTCGAAGCCAGTTTTGCTAGACAAGATGATGAGAGTTGTGCTATCTCTGGAAATGTGCTGCTGGTGGGATGGTAGTAAGCTGTTTGCAATAACCTCCAGTGTGGGAATCTCTCCCTGTGGAATGAAGATTCCTCTGGAAAACCCTCTCCATGAATCACACCTCAGCCACAGCCCACATCTGGAAAACCCCGGGGCCTGGTTTTCCTCTCACTTACGTTTCTGGAAAGCAAGAGGAACTTCTCCATAATCTCTGGAGTCACCAGTAAGAACTATTAGGAGAATGCCAGTATGCTTATCACTGCATTACTTCTGTTCATGCTACAAGCCCAGAAAACATAGCTTTAAAATGTTAGAAAAACAAAGACAAGTTCCAAAGTAGGAAAACATCATCTTAGCTGCCCACTCCTAGACTTTGGCTTTCATAAGCAAGAGTCAGGCACTTAGCACTGCAGTTGTAAAAATGACACTAAATCAAACTAAATCTGTATGCACAAGAATGCTCATAACAAAAGGGGAAGTAAATTCCAATACATGAACTTTCCCTTGCTTTGAATTCCTACCAAAAGACTGTCGATGCCTGGCCATGCTATGGATGGTATTAACAAAACCCCCCCAGCTTGTGTGGAGCCAGGCTGGCACGTGCCCCAGGGAGCTAACACCCTTGTAAGATGGTATGCTCGGGCTCTTCACCCTTGGAAAAGGAATGTCAGATGCTTCTCCAACAGCAGCAAGATTTACCACACAGTTGTTTCTTTTTCTTTTTTTTTTTTTTTTTTTTAACCTGGATGAACTTCTTGCATAGCTCCCTCAATTAAAAATTAGACTGGTGGAAGTCTCTTGCTGAAGACAACAAAAGCTGCAGCCTGAGAAAATGACTCAAAAATAAGGATTGAAAGCTCAGCACCATATAAAACCACCAGGTAAATAAATAGCCGTGCCACTGAGCATCCAAACAACTCAACATTGCCTGTGACGCATGAGAGAAGAAATCAACATTGCTCTTCCAAAAGCAATCATAGCCAGAGTTTCTGTCCTATGCCCTTGGCACTTGAGTCTCCAGCATGGGTTAATATGATCAAGCCCTTTGCAGCAAATGTGAGCCACTTGTTCTAATGACAGCTGAGCATCTCTTGTGTTGAAGTGGAGCTGGTGCTGGGACTTGGAAGAAAGTTGTCACATCAGCAGGTAACAGTATCAGATGAGAGCCATTCAGGGGTGGTCATGTTTTAATCTTGTTTTTATCTTTTTCTGAAACACTGTAAAAATCTTGTTATGTTGATATCTTCTCATACAGAAGCATCTTAAAAAATAAAGGAATTGTAGATTTTTTTCCCCTTTTTCTGCTATACTCTGGCATATGGTAAAAAGAGAATAAAAATCCAGGCTCTGTGGCAGACCTGGGTGGTCTGATGGACTGGAACAGCGAAGGCAGACGTCTCTCTGAGGCTGCCTCTGGTTTTTCCCACTCAAAGGGCAGCCCTGCTGAGTAGAGGCTGTTCTTCCATCCCAGGTGCATGCCCAGGAAACTTGTAGTATGTTCAGAAAGCAAAACTGAGATGAAACAACTGAGATGGAATATTTTCCCCACAGCACTTCAGAAATGCAAAGTGGGTACCTCGCATGACATGTTTCCCAGGACTGCATCCCAGCATCAGGACAGTATCCTAGCAGCTCACTGAAGGAGGAGAGAGCAGAGCCTATGTGCAATCAAGGCCTGTGTTATTAGCATAAGCGATGCCTCTGGTCAGGGTGATTTCTGCACTGGCTTTTGTCAAGCACCCGCTCCGCCCAGCTTCTGGCTGTCCACAAAGAAACTCTTACTTTTGACTGAAGAAAATATACCTCCTGCCCAAGGCACTTTTGTATTCAAAATGTCTATTTTCCATGCCGCAGGAATCCAGCAGGGATTAGCTCAGATATTTGAAACAGCTTCCTCTTAATCGCTCTCTGGAAAACTTTGCTTCACTCCTAATGCAGTCCCAAAAGAAACCTCACAAGCCTCCTGTTGCATGACCAGCAGCAGCACTGGGGCATCACAGCAAATAGCCCACCAGGACATGAGTAAGGAAGGGCAGCATTGCCCAGCAGAGAGCCCATGATGTGTGCCAAGCTAGGGAGTTGGGGGGAGTCTGTGATGTGGGGTGGCAAGTGTTACCAGCCCCAGCACTGTGTGCCACTGGCACAACCACCCCTGGAGCTGCTCCTGCTCTGGTAGCCAGGACCGAATCTCATGTAAAAGGAGATCACTGAAAAATTAGGAGTCCCTAAAATCCGGCAGGAAGATGGAGAAAAGGAACACTTTTTTCTTCAGTTAGCCTCACATTCTTTAAACACTTAATTGAATTTGTTTAACCATCTGAAGCACAGGCCTTATTTCGTTATAATGCTACACATTTCTGCAAATTTGCCAAGCCTGGCACATTAATGTGACTTAACACATTAGGACATTCATGAGCTGCTTTCTCATTTGCAAGTCAGGCATTCCCAAATCTCAGCCACTCTGCTGCCCAATCCACCTTTCTCGCTGCCATCACCACAGCAATCCCAACAACACTCCTGCCATTAAAAGATCCCACCAGCTCCTGGTCTCATCTCACCCCAGCAGCAGCTGTAATGGTAAATTAGGTTCCTTCTAAGAGTCTTGCACATTGCTGTGGCATTAAATAGTGGCTTTGGGTACTCTGAATTCAGGCCTCCCAATTACTCACTATTTCCAGTCCTGTTTGCAACATGGTTCTGAAACGGACTGTGCTCCAGAAGTTGTTGTAAAAGTTATTTTATGGTAACATTGATGTCAATTACAGGGTAATGACTTTGAGGACCAAAGAGGACCCCTTATTCTCACATGAGAGGCTTCAAAACCCTTATAGCACTGTCCACTGCAGGTACAAATAAGCTTCTTAAAATAACTCAGTGCTGCCCTTCCCCACTTGTGGGTTTGGTGACACTGGGCAGGAAGCGTGGTGCAGGCTGCTGCAGTGCCAGGGTGGGCGGCCGATTGCCCAGGGAGCTCCCAGAGGTGAGAGGTGGGTGCCAATAGAGATGTCCCCCAGGCGGGTTTGCAGTCCCCACAGGCTTTGTTTCTCCTCTAGGGATGTTAGAAACACAGCCCCTAGTGCACTCCTTACCCCGGCTGCAGGACAAGGGTGGCCACACACAGCAGCCCTCTGTCCCTGCACCCAGCACAGTACAACCAACTTGTCACAGGCCACGAGGGGAACCACACCAGTGGCTCTAAAGCACAGCCAAAAGATATAGGTCAAGCTATATGTAAGCAAAGCAACAGCTAGCAGAAGGATGTGGCCTGTCTGCCTGCTGCCAAGGAAACACGGACGCCTCCGTCTGTCCAGAACTGCACAGGGCCAGACATGCTCACGCCCCTGCAAACAGAGCTCCAGAGTAAGTAGGGATATCGCAAATATTTTTCATCCTTTGGCCCACCCTAGCGCTCAGTGTCCCATCAGGGCAGGAGATAAAACTTTAAGCCCTGAAAATCAGATTTCAAAGTCTTAGTTTTTCTGATGAGCTTGGTTAATTCAGACATCTCCCAGCAGACAAGGCTCGGCCTCACGCTGCCCCGTGCTGTCACAACAGCAGATGGCACCCACCAAAGTCATTACAAAAGCAGAGGAAGAACTATTACACTAAAGCAATTAGAGTCTTAGAAACCACAAATTCCTCCACAGGGAAAGCCAATATCCAAGTGCAAAGAAATGCTGCCAGTCCAGCAACAAAATCAACCCATTTCTGCAGGAAAAAACACACAGTGATGCCAAAGCAAGCCTGTTCCAGACAGGCATACAGCAGCTGCTTACCCAGGGCTGGCAGAGGGGTTCCCCGTGCTGCCCTGTGGCTTGCTCCAGCACCCTGTACCAGGGTGGGCAGGAGGGAGAAACTGAGAACACCCAGCAGCAGCTTCCAACCCAAAGCACTGCAGTCCAGCGCGCTGGGATAAAAACTGGGACTTGTTGGGAAAGACCTCACAGAGGAGAAAAATAAATTAACGTGATTTTAAACAAAATTTTAATGAGAGGAGCAGTGAGCCCTTGTGGATGAGCCCTCTCACTTCTCTTACAAAAAATGCTGGTTCAATCCCTGCACACTGGACCGCTCCTGAAAACACTGTGTGCTGTACATCTGCTTCTGCCCCTTCTGCCCCAAGAGCGTTGCTCTCATGAGCACAGAGCTCTGTGGTGCATGAGGGAAAGGGGGGTCTGCAGACCCCGAGCCCCCGTCCAGGTCAGGTCACAAGGCTCCTTTTGGACAACAGCACAGGCCAAACAACAGCTAATCTATTACAGTATTGACTCACCACCAAGAAGCAAGTTGGCTGGCATTTTAACAGGAAATTCAATTGAATTACTTCAACAGAAACATGCCCACGGACGCCAACGCTAGGCTCTGCCTTCGTCCAAGCACAAACACAAAGAGCTGGGCCCCAGGAAAACCCCAAGTAAAGGTTCCCAACCTCATCGCCCTGCTTGTCCAGCTGATAAAAAAGCACAAGAGCAAACCTCTGCTGAACAGACACCACAAGATAGGGATGAAGGAAAGTGTTAGCAAAGGAGTAACACATTAGCCAAAGTGAGGGACTCTGGAGCAG